TTTTTCTCATCAGCACATGGAACGGTCTCCAATATAGACCATACAATAGGGCGTAAAACAAGTATCAATAAATTTTAAGCAATCAAATTCATGTCAAGTATCTTCTCAGATTACAGTGGAATAAAACTAAAAATCAACTCCAAAAGGAACCCTCAAAACTATACAAATACATGGAAATTAAACAATCTGGTCCTGCATGATATTTGGTTTAACAACAAAATCAAGATGGAAATTTAAAAATTCTTTGAAATAAATGATAATAGTGACACAAGTTATCAAAACTTCTGGGATACAGTAAAAGCAGTGCTAAGAGGAAAGTTTATAGCACTAAATGCCTACAGCAAAAAGTCTGAAAGATCGCAAATTGACAACCTAATTTCATACTTCAAGGAACTATAGAAACAAGCAACAACCACAAAACAAAAACCTAAACCCAAAGCTAGTACCAGAAAAGAAATAAGATCAGAGCAGAACAAAATGAAATTAAAACAACAATAACAAATAAATAAAATGTCAATGAAACAAAAAGCTGGTTGTTTGAAAAGGTAAAATTGATAGACCATAAGCTAGATTAACCAAGAAAAGAAGAGCAAATATTCAAATAAACTCAATTAGAAATGGAACTGGAGACATTTCAATTGACACCACAGAATTGTGAAAGATCATTCAAGACTACTATGAGCACCTCAGTGCACTCAAACTAGAAAATCCAGAGAAAATGAATAAATTCTTGGAAACATACAAGCCTCCTAGATTAAATTAGGAAGAAATAGAAATCTTGAACAGACCAATAACACACAGTGAGATTGAATCAGTAAGAAAAAAACTGTTGACTTCAAAAAAAGCCCAGGGCCAGATGGATTCACAGCTGAATTCTACCAGACATTCAAAGAAAAATTGGTGCCAGTCCTACTGAAACTATTCCAAAAGATTGAGAAAGAGGGAATCCTCTCCGACTCATTTTATGAAGCCAGTATCTCTCTGATACCAAAATCAGAAATATTGGTCTGTAGAAGACTATAGACCAATATCATGATGCAAAAATCTTCCATAAAATACTAACTAATGGAATTCAATAGCAACATCAAAGTAATATGCAATAATCAAGTTGGTTTCATCCCAATGATGCAGGCATACTTTAATACATGCAAGTCAGTAAAGGTGATCTATCATATAAACAGAATCAAAAACCAAAAATCATTTGATAATTTCAATAGATGTTAAAAAAAAAAGCATTCAATATAATCCAGCATCCTTTTATGATAAAAACCCTCAACAAACTAGGCATCAAAGGAATAGATCTCATAATAGTAACAGCCATCTATGACGAAACCACAGCTTTTACTTTACCAAATGTAGGAAGTTGAAAGCATTTCCTCTGAGGCCTGCAACAAGGAAAGGCTGCCCACTTTCACCATTTCTATTCAACATAGTACTGGAAGTCCTAGTCAGACCAAACAAGCAAGAGAAAGAAATAAAGTGTATTCATGCTCAAAAAGAAAAAGTCAAATTATTGCTGTCTGCTGATGATATGATCATATACCTAGAGTTTGGATAAATTAATTCAGTAAAGTCTTGAGTCACAAAATCAATGTATGTAAATCAGTAGCACGGCTGTATGTGACAATGACCAAACTGAGAATCAAATCAATCACTTAATCCCTTGTACAACAGCTGCAAAAAATAAAACAAAATACCTAGAAATATACCTAACCAAGGAGGTGAAAGATCTCTGCAAGGGAACTACAAAACACTACTGAAAGAAATCATAGGTGACACAAGCAAATGAAAACACATCCCACGAATGCATTTCATGGATCGCATGAATCAATATCATGAAAATAACTATACTGCCCAAAGCAATCTACAGAGTCAATGCAATTCTTATCAAAATACCAACATCATTTTTCACAGAATTAGAAAAAACAAATCCTAAAATTCATATGGAATCAAAAAAGAACCCAAATAGTCAAAGCAATCCTAAGTAAAAAGAATAAATCAGAAGGTAGGACATTACTGAACTTCAAATTATTCTACAAGGCTGTAGTTACCAAAAGAGCGTGGTACTGGTAAAAAAACAAAACAAAACAAACAAACAGACAAAAAAACACATTGACCCATTGAGCAATGGAACAGAATAGAGAACCCGTAAATAAAACCAAACACTTACAAATGATCTTTGACAAAGCACACAAAAACATAAATTTGGGAAAGGATATCATATTTAATAAATGGTGCTGGAAAAATTGGTTAGCATCTCTCACAAAAATCAACTCAAGATGTATCCAACACTTAAAAACCTGAAATCATAAAAATTCTAGAAGATAACCAAGGAAAAACTCTTCTGGACGTTGGCTTGGGCAAATAATCCATGACTAAGACCCCAAAAGCAAATGAAACAAAATAAATAAATAAATGGGAACTAATTTAACTAAAATGCTTCTGTACAGCAAAAGAAATAATCAGAGTAAACAGACAACCCACAGAATGGGAGAAAAATATTTGCAAACTATGCATCTAACAAAGGACTAACATCCAAAATCTACAGGGATCTCAAATAAATCATCAAGAAAAAAAATTCCATCAAAATGTGGGTAAATGACATGAACAGACACGTCTCAAAAGAAGGTATACGAATGGCCAACAAACATATGAAAACAATGCTCAACATCGCTAATCATCAGGGAAATACAAACAAAAACTGCAGTGAATACCACCCTACTCCTGCAAAAAGTATTATTAAGTTTAATTATTCAAAAGTCAAAAAACGATGCTGGCTTTGATGTGGTGAAAAGGGAAAACTTACACACTGATGGTGGGAATGTAAATTAATACAAACTCTATGGAAAACAGTATGAAGATTTCTTAAAGAACTAATGGTAGATCTACCATTTGATCCAGCAATCCTGCTACTGGGTATCTACTCAAAGGAAAATAAGTCATTTTATTAAAAAGACAACTATACGTTTATGCTTATCATAGCACAATTCACAATTTTAAAGACATAGAACCAACCTAAGTGCCCATTGATGAGTGAGTGGATTTTAAAAATGTGGTATGTATACACCATGGGATACTACACAGCCATAGAAAAGAATAAAATAATGTTTTCTGCAGGAATTTGGATGGAGCTGGAGGCCATTATTCTAAGTGAAATAACTCAGGAATGGAAAACCAAATACTATATGTTCTCACTTATAAGTGGGAACTAAGCTATGGGTACCCAAAGGCATACAGGGTGACATATCGGACTGTGGAGACTGAGAAGTGGGGAGGGAGGAGGAAGGGGTGAGGAATATAAAACTACATATGAAATACAATGTACACTACTTGGATGATGGGTACCCTAAAACCTCAGACTTCACGATTATACAATTCATCCATGTCACCAAAAACCATGTGTGCCCCCAAAGCTATTGAAATACAAAAGTTAAAATTTTTATACTGAAAACTTCTATGAGAACTTTATAAATATGTAAATTCAAACACCACTGACCTGGACTTCCTAAGTTACCTATTTGTTTTTGGCTTTCATCTCAAATGTTTCTTCTTCAGGCGACTGATACAGTCATATACCTTGTACATTCATTAATCAGATGATAAAATCTCCCAGTTACAGGACTCTCTGGGATAGCTAGTAACTCGGAAATCTGGAATCTTGTAGCCTTGTACTTTTTGGAAATCTATCATATATTATGGTGGAAAAAATAAATGAAAATGACTTATTTCTTTGTGTTAGTCACTGTCCTAGTGGTTTGTGTCCTCAGAACAGCCTCTTCAGGCAAGTATCATCATCCTCATTCACCAATGACAAAACTGAGCCCCAGATGGCTTGTTACTTGCCTAAGGTAGCAGAGTTAATAGGGCAGGGGGCTGTGGCTAGAAGCCATTTCTTCTGACACCACAGCCATGGTCTTACCAATACTCCATTCCACTTCTCAATAACTTGAACTATTAAGGTGAAAAGAGTCTTATTCTGTTGCCCAGGCTGGAGTGCAGTGGCACGATCTTGGCTCACTGCAACCTCCGCCTCCCAGGTTTAAGCAATTCTCCTGCCTCAGCCTCCTGAGTAGATGGGATTACAGGCACCCACCACCATGCCTGGCTAACTTTTGTATTTTAGGTAGAGACAGGGTGTTGCCATGTTGGCCAGGCTTAAAGTAAAAAGATTCTTATTGGAAACAATTCGCAGAATGAACATGATAATTGAAGGCTCTCTACGCTGATTTCATACCTACTAGTGACACAGTGAAAGATGATGGGGCTCCCCTAATGCCACTCTCACTCACCAACTGATGAATTTAGAAGCTTAGAAAGGCAGCTCATGTTTAGAAACTCCCAATACCCTCAACTCAGGTTGAATTGGAGAAGCTGAAGCCAATATTGCAGTATCTGGAGGAGTAGAGATAAGAATAGGGGGGCAGTGGCCTTCCTCCAGCTTCCACAACTAGTCTTGGTGATGCTGTGATAGCAAGTATTTATTCATTCATTTATCTATTCAGTCAATTGCTATTGCCTGCCTACTATACATTAGGGAAAGGATTCAAGTCACATGAATGTTTAGGTAGCACAATCTTTTTTTTTTTTTTTTTTTTTTTTTTAAATAGAGATGGGGTTTCACCATGTTGGCCAAGCTGGTCTCGAATTCCTGGCCTTAAGTGCTCCACCCACCTCGGCCTCCCAAAGTGCTAGGATTACAGGCATGAGCCACCACCCCCGGCCTAGGTAGCACAATCTTATTAACCTATATATTGGGTCTGCTGTAAACCGCAATACACAGTAACTTTATGAAAATCAGTGGCCATTTTCTTGGTTTTCCTATAGGAAGTTTAGATACTGTTTGAGGGTGGAGGTATCACTGATACTTGGAGGAGAGCTACCCCTACCCAAGTGCATTTTTATGAGGCTTCTCTATTGTCTATGTGTTTGGATTCCGAGTCATAAAAGACAAGTCAACAAATTAAAACATGTATATTAATCCAACTCAAATAACGATCTACCGAATTGAAGCAGGCACCACTGCTGCTTTCGGCGTGAACGCAGTCCTCATAGTGGTAGCATAGGAATCCCAGCTGGTGTCATCTGCTAAAAGTAAAATAAAGGATTTTGAAATGTGGCAAACCAGAATATTTTGATGAAACATTGTTTTAACAATTAAGATAATTTTGCAAGAGAAAAAAACATTCTGGATAATAATTTACCTTTAGAGTCTAAGGAATAAAGATCAACATACAGCCTCTAATAGGAATAAGCTCGACTTATGTGTGTTTCACCCCAAAATAAAAAATAGTTCTACTGTTTGTCCTGAGCATTCATGCATGTTATTTTAAAGAATTAAAGACAGATAAAAATATAAAAAGGAAAGTAGTTTGTTTGAAATTCTATCATCTTAAGAGACCCACTATTATGTTTTAGTCACCAACTTTACATGCATCATATTAGATGTACCTATAGACATATGAAATTATTTTACACACAGGAGATTATGTCAGACACATCAGGTTTTATAATGGACACCTCCTTACTTTTTCCTTTCCCTACCATGGCCATGCTCCTTCCTAACCCTTCTTCCAGCCAGCACATGTTAAAAATTGTGCCTGTTTCTTCGCATACATGTGGAGGTAACCACATACAGATTTATACATAGACATAGTGGGTTTCAGTTATCAATCTTTTGTTTCACAAAAGTGGGCGCATACGACACAAGGTCTCTTCGTCTTATATCTGTCACTAACGGTGTTTGATGGAAAACACGTTCAACTCATCTGGCATGGTTTTAATTCATGTCTTGTAATGGTTGTGCAAAATTCTGTGATGTAGATGCTATTTAAAGCTATGAGAGTAGGGAGATCAATGAAGGAGAGAGTAGACTTGAAGCAGAAGTTCCAAGGCTGAGACCTGGAACATTCCAGTGTCAAGAATTTGGAGAAAAAAGGAGAGCCAGTGAAGGGATTGAAAAGAACTGTCAGCAAGGTGAGAAAGAAACCAGGAGCCAGTGGCATCCTGACAGTCAAATAAAGTGTCCCAGAGAAGGGAGTCAAATCCTGCTGATGGCTCCAGGAGGATGCCAGCTGAGAATTTACCATTAGGTAGTGCTATTGTTTGAATGTGTCCCCCAAATTTTGTGTATTGGAAACTTAAGCCCCAAATGTGTATGTTGATAGCATTTGGAGGTGGGGCCTTTGGGAGGTAATTAAGATTAGATAAGGTAATCAGAGAGTAGTCCCTATGATGGAACTGGTGGCTTTATAAAAAGAGGTCGAGAGACCTGGGTTACCACACTCTCGCCCTCTCACCGTGCAATGCCCTCCACCATGTTACGATGCAGCTAACAGGCCCTCACCAGATGCCAGTAGTATGCTCTTGGACTTTCCACCCTCTAGAACCATTAGCTAAATTGTTTTTTTTTCCTTATAAATTACCCAGTATATAGTATTCTGTTAAAGCAACAGAAAGTGGACTAAGACAGGTAGACACCAGTAACAACACTATTTGTCCCAACCTCCCATTGTTAACAAAGTACCACCAAATTTCTTAGAAATATATATGTTAAATTTAAAATCTAGTCATTCCCTCATTCCTCACATCTGGGTAGTTACCTGCCGCTTTTTGTATGTCATGAGAACCTGGGTTGAACATCTCTACTTTTTGGATATACAATATGTCCTCTAGGATCTATCACTGCCTCCCTAGAATACTGTAGCCACCCCATTGCCTGTATTTGTTCTCCTTCATGTGTCCTATTACAGTTGCTACTATCTTTCTTCAATTTCCCAATTTTTAAAAAAGCTATATGCTACTCCTTAGCATAGGGAGCACTGGCCAAATATTTACGGTTCCTGTTATCTGTGAACCTCTTAATGTTCATCTCCTCATCTATCCCAATCAAGCCTTGTTTGTAATGTAACAGACGCTCATTTCCAATCAGGATCTGATCATCAGCAACGATTACCTGTGCCCTTAACCCTGGCTGAAGTCCACCTCCACTTAGAAGCCCCTAAGTCAGAGAACGGAAACCTTAGCCCCCGTATTCCCCACTCTGTACCTGTGTTTCTAATCCTGCTCTCCAATAAATGATATCATTCTCCAGTTTTCCTGCTTTAGTGGGAATCACCTTATGCTTGAAAGCACTTTATCCCAATAGCAAAATGGAATGTTCTTTGTTAAAAGAATTGCAAGTGTGGACAAGTAAAAGGGAAGAAATTGTGAGGCATGCCACTTGGAAAAGAAGCCTTCTCTACCCTACTTCGAACTTCTGCATTGGACTTTTGGAAGGGTCAGGAAGGCTATTCTGCACAAAACCACATAGCACTTCTCCCTCTTTTTTTCCTAAGGTAAACAACTCTAACAGTGCAGATCACATTTCTATTAGGCTCAGATATGCCTCAAAAAGCCTGGCAGAACTAACAGCACCCCAGGCAGCACTTCCCAATCAATCATGTGGGCAAGCATGACATGCCTCTCTGTGTTCCTGTCTAGGGTCCTGTCCCTTCTGAAGATAGACTGGCAACTGGGGACACCAATTGCTAGATGCCAGTCTCGGGAGTCTGATGGACAAGAGCAGCATGACTTGCTGCTTCCAGGAACCAAGGCCACGCGAGCCTCTCACTTCCTGTGTTACCTTTGTATAGATCAGCAACTCCCTCCACTCCCTAATCCTAACCTGCTTGGATACACACTTGATCTTCAGTATATCTTCCTTTAATTTCATGTTCATGAATTCCCTTATTACAATCCTTTTTGCCAGGGCGGTATTTCCATGCTTTTTACCTCCATTGACAAAGCTTCTGAAAATACAGTATGCTATTGGAATTAATCTTCATTAACACAAATGCTCATGGAGAAATCTGTAATCACAATATTCTGAAAATCGATTTCTAGTATATTCTATGCATGTCACTACTTTCTTCCTGGTGTCTCCGTGTCTTTTTCTGTAGCTCACCTCCATCTTTTCTGTGATTCTGTCTTCCTAATTGTTTCTTTCTTCTCTCATTTTCTGTTCTTCCTGCAAACCAATCCCCAAGCTGTCCCACGGACCGAGCCCTGTGCTGGTACTGGGGCATAGAGTCTCGACCTGGCCTTGGAGAACTCACAGGCCAAGAGATGAACTATGTATCCTACGAGCACAACTTTAATGTAGCACTGATGTCCTATGTGTCACAGGGACTGTGAAGAAGGTGCAATTCTTTTTTGCTTGGATGAGAAGATGGGGAGGCAGGGGCAGGCCCAGGGGTCATCACAGCATAGGTGGCATCTGAATTGGGATTTAATTTAGTAGATGTTTGAAAGGTAAACACAGGACATGAAGTAAAGCAATTTATAGAGGAAGTAGCAGGAGGTATGAGAGTCTGAGACGCGATACATCAAATGGCCCCAAGTGAATGAAGCGAAGGGAAAGACGGCTGATGACAGGTCCGCAAAGCATCCTAAAGCCTCATTCTGCTAACCTTGACAACCCACTGGATGAACATGTTTACCATTAGGAAAATATAAAGCTTTGAAAATACTGTGAAATAGTAACTAACATGTATATTCGATTATACTTTTCAAAATGTTTTCATATATATTGTGTTATTCCCCCATTTTTGTTTTGAGGATTTGAGGTATTGATAAATATAAGTTGTTTATAGTATGCTGCCTGGCAGCACTACGCAAAGATAGGTCCGTGTTTTCATCCCCAACACCTGTGAATCTGACCTTATTGGGAAAAGGAGTCTTTGCTCTTGCAATTAAAGATCTCAAGATTAGAAAATCATCCTGGATTATCCTCGTGGACCCTAAATGCAATGACAAGAGTCCTCAGAAGACAGAGGCAGAGAACTGGAGTAATGAGACCACAAGCTAGTGTTACAGGATCTCTCTGGGGTGTTGATTTTTCTGGCTAGAAACCTCTGTGGCTGCAATGCTTTTGCCAGCCTTTGCCAGAGTTCTTGTCCTGCACTGAGGTACACAGACAAGAGAGGAGTGAAGAAGAGTGTTAGAACAGCTCAGAGGAGTGGGCAGCTCCTCTCTGTAGGCAGGTTGTCTGGTCATCGAGTGCTCAGCTCTCAGCAGAGAGGAGGCCCTGGACAGGTTGGCTCCTCTCCATAGGCAAGTCATTCAGAGGTCTCTGCAGATCTCTGAAGCTCTCAGCAGGGAGGGTAGCTCCTCTCTGTCAGCAGGTCATCTCTGCAGCTCTCAGTGGAGAGGGTTCTCCTTCCTCTCTGCAGCTAGTTACCTCATCATCTCCAGCTATCAACAGAGAGCATACTCCTCTACAGCTGGTGTTTCTCTGTCTCTCCCTGCCCTCTTCGTCCTCTGCCCTGTTCTGGCTGAGCCCAGGGCTTTTATGGACTTCACAGGAAGGGAAGTAAATGCCGATTGGTCCATTGGGCAGGCCAGAGGAGGCATCATGAGTCCCTACTCCGGTTCCTGGTTCCCAACTGGAAGCCTGGTCCCAGGCTTCAGGCCCTTCCTGGTCTGAGGGTGGGGCCTTACTGAGGACCCCACCCGCTTCCACCGGGGACTCTGTCAGCCTCCTCCTGCCATTCACTGCCATGGTACTTGGTCTCAACCTCGCTCTGAGATTGAAGCCAGTGGAGAGAGGCCAGGGAGTGGAGCAGATCCCCCTGAGCCTACAGGGATAGATGGGTGAGGGGTGTCCTTCCTGGAGCATCCAAGGGTGCAGGCTGCAGAGATGCCCAGGTCCTGTGCCTGGGAAGGTAGCCACAGGGGCACCAGGGAGCTCCAGCCCTACCAACTTGGAAGAGGTAGGGCTCCCGCTTGTCCCGGCTCCTGCTTGCTTCCTGGAGTGGGAGGCCCAGGTCTGCAGCTGTGGGTTCCACAGGGAGGCTCCGAGGCACAGGGAGGCTCAGACCCACTGCTGCAGTTTGGTTGCTGTAGTCTCTTCCAGGAGGGCAGGGCTCCTGCCTGCTCCCTAGAGCAGGAGGCCTGGGTCTGCAGCTGCAGTTTGGGCAGCTGTAGTGGCACAGGAAACTCCCATCCCAACTCAGAAAGGGCAGGGCTCCGACTGACTCCATGGAGCATGAAGCCCCAGCTGTGCTTCCCTGCTGCGGCCGGCATGATGGCAGCAGCCACTGCCATCACTAGCAGCGCCAGTGGCCACCTGAAGCTGGAAGAGGCAAGAATCGCTTCTCCCCTAGGGTCTGTAGAGGGAGTACAGGCTTGTCCAGACCTTGATTTCAGACTCTTGACCTTCAGAGCTGTGAGCAAATACATTTTTGTTGTTTGAATCCACCAGTCTGTGGGAACATACAGCAGCCACAGGAAACTAACCCAGCACCTGAGAGCGCTGTGTATAGTAATTATTCAATAGCAGCTAGTCATCACAGTCACCATCAACCTCATCCTATTTTGGACCAAAGCTGGGCAGTGGTGACGCATCAAGTCCACCTTTTGGAGGGTGGCTCTCCCAGCAGTGGGAAAGGAGGTGGCACAGAGTGGCCATTAGAGGCCCAAGCCTGGAGGTAAAGCGGGCAAAAGAGCTTTGGAGGCAGAGTCAGAGACCTGGTGATCAAATTGCAGTCTCAAGGAAGCTGCCTTCCCTTCTAAGTTGAGCAGCTGGGACCCTCTTAACTGAACTCTCAATATTGGGAAGGTTTGAGGAGGACAAGGGGTGTGATTTTGCACATGTCGAGTTGGAGACCCTGCTCTGACACCCACGTGGAGCTGGCTGGTTTTAGGAGGCAAGTCCAAGTCAGAGATGAAGATTGGAGAGTTGTCGGCACTTTCATGCAGTACCTGAAGCCCTGTGGCAGGATGGGGTCGTGAAGAGAACGTGAGCCCAGAAGTGTCAGTCTTGGAGGACTGCAACAGTTCCCAGACAAGGAGGAGACAGGGAGACAGTGGGAAAACAGGGTGGTTAGAAAGGAAGGAGGAAGGCTGGGCGCGATGGTTCACGCCTGTAATCCCAGCACTTTGGGAGGCCATGGTGGGCAGATCATGAGGTCAGGAGATCGAGACCATCCTGGCCAACACGGTGGAACCCTGTCTCTATCAAAAATACAAAAAATTAGCCAGGTACGGTGGCACACGCCTGTAACCCCAGCTATTCTGGAGGTTGAGGCAGGAGAATCACTTGAATCCAGGAGGTGGCGATTGCAGTGAGCTGAGATTGTGCCACTGCACTCCAGCCTGGGCGACAGAGCAAGACTCCGTGTCAAAAAAAAAAAAAAAAAAAAAAAAAAAAAAAAAAAAAAAAAGAAAGAAAGAAAAGAAAAAAAAGGGAAGAAGAGCGTCCAAAGGGATGCTGTCAGGATCCTACGAGGAGATCCTCCTTCCTCTGTTTCTCGTTTGCCTTGCCCATCACATAGAAACTGTGTGTATTCGATATTTTCTGCACTAATTAAGTATTTTCGTTTTCCATTCTTAATTTACAAAGGAATGAATTGGAATGAAAAGATGCATTTCATTCATTCTTGCGGGAGCGCAATTCTAGGGAATTTGTACTTGAACAAGCCCTCACTGCTCTGTCGCCACTGTGGAATCACAATTACCCACCTAGACGGCAGCAATGGGCAATTATTGCCACAAGAGACCATGACGGAGCTGACTACACGGTAATCATGCCACTTGCGTCACAGCTAGCGTGGCTCTCCTTCCACAGACCCAAAAGGCTGAGCTGGTGAACCTGCTGCATCTGCGGGCAGAATTAGGATGGAAAGCACTACCTCTGTGAAACACAAAATCTCCGTGGAAGAAAAATCAGTTCGGCTTAGAGGCCGTGCCTCCTAGCCTGTGCGACTGCCCAGGGAGGGCCCCCGCCTCTGCAGGCAGCGCTGGGACTGCATCCAGCAGCCACCCCTCCCCCGCTTTCCTTGCTGTTTCCTAGACCCTGTGTGGGGATCAGGACTCAGGCAGGGCCTGTTCTCTTCAGAGCTTCCCGGACTTTCTCTTTCTTCTTGGCCTTTAGCCCTGTTCTCCTTGGATAATCACCAGTTCTTCATTTTTCCTGTCCACTCTTAGCTAGGCATTTCCTTGGGTGTTTAAAACTTAACCCCATGCGTTTTAGGAAGCCGGGACTTGGCAAAGGGTACATGAAGGACTGAAAAGGGGTAGATCAAGAATGCCTGGTCATTCTCCCTGACTTCTCTGCATTTTTCTCTGTTGAGCTCACTCCTAAGAGCGAGGTCACATCCTTAAAGACCTAAGCCCTCTTTTTCTCAACAGGACCCTTTCCCCAGGAAAGACCCCCGCCCCGCCCCGCCTCGCGGGCCGGCAGAGTCCGCTGTCTTACTTGGCTGGAGGTTGTGGTGGCAGAGAGAGGGATCCGGAGCCCTGGGCGCAGGCTGCTCCATTCTGCCCGAGGAGGTGGCCGCGGGGCCCTGGCTGCAGCCCAACTGAGCCGCAGGAGCCGCAGGCCGCTTTGTGACGCGTCGCCATGGAGACAAGGGTCGAGTTCCAAGGAGCTCGTCCCCGGCCAAAGGGTGCTGGCCACGCAGGAGGCTTAACCTGGCCGGCGCGGGAATAGGGTGCAGAGAGCAAAGAAATGTGGCTTTGATCGTATGGATGCCTTACTTTTACATTATTTGCATAGTTCTTGCGGTGAACTTTCCTGACTACTGGCTTGCAGGTTTCCTAAGAAAAGCAAAAAGGGCAAAGATTGAAGAGAAAGTAGTAATGCAAATTTTCAACTGCAAACTTTCATCCATTAGCTTTCAGCTTAAGTAAATGTGCGCAAAGTTGTCATGGGTCTTTGTAGTAAATAAGAACCAAGCAAGAAGACTGAATCTCAGGTCATCTGGTACAAATGGAAGCAGTTTCTGTGATAGTTCCATGCAGTCAGAAGAGGCATCCTGGCTTAGGAGAGAGACAGAAAGGGAAATGCATGCATGGAAACACGAGTGGGCAGGGAGGATGTGACACTCTCCTCCTCACCAGGCCATGTTTCTGGCACCAACCATAGTGTTTGTGCGTATCATTTAATTGTTCTGCTCTCATAGAGGAAGCTGTGTCTTTCATCTGCACATAAGAGTTTTCATGTATGAAGGGGGGTCTTTTATTTTCCTATCTTGGGGACTACTGAAAGTGTTTCAAAGAGTCAAAGACACCAACAACTAAAAATTCTTGTTTGCAGGATGGCAGATAAGAAAAGAAACAACTTGCTGAAACTCCCTCTGCTTATAACAAAACTGGCTGAAAGCAGCTGGAATCATACGGCCAAATGGAGTTTGTGCACAGCAAGCTTGCCGATGTCACAGCCCGAATTTCTGCCACATGTTTCATACTAACTCCCTCCAAATTTGCACATGGGACCTATGAGGAAGCATGAAGAGAGAACCGCGCATGCCTGAAGACTTTCCAGATGGCCCCTTTGCTTCCTCCAATTACCTGCTAACCCCAGAATCTACCCCTAAACCTTTCGCGAAATTACTGCCTCACAGCCAGTACAAGAAGCCAGATTTGAACTGGACTTCCATCTCCTCAGAGGCTGACTGGCAACATAAAGCTTTTCTTTTCTCAAAAACTTGGTGTCATAGTGTTGACTTCTAGTGCGGTGAGCCCCTTTTGCTGGCTAACACTGCCAGGTAATTTGACATAGGTGGTTAGTGACTACTGAATGCCTCCAGGTTACAACACAGTTATTACCCACTTGAGTGGAAGGAGAAGACAGGAAATACATATTGGAGTCGGCTGGCAACCTGTTTACAAAGCAATTTACAGCAGTTCCTTATTCTTAAAGGGTTATTCTAATATAAGACCTCAGAGAAACAGTGCAGCGTGACAAAGGAGGAATTTATCAAAGGAGACAGGAAAAGCATCAAGGTAAGGATCCCAACTATGTATGCAAAGAATTTCTTTAAAATGGAGAGCTAAACTAGAATGTTCTGAAGGTAGAGTTCTATCCATAGAATGGAATGACCGTAACACATTTTCAACTCTCATATTTGGAAGCAATGAAGGGCGGAACACATCAGAAGGCATAGATGTTATTAAAAGGAAGGAGTCTAAAATAGGATTTACTAGTGGCATCTAAATTTAAAAAGTAGCACCCAATAACAGATTACTGTCTGGAAATGGTGGAGCTAATTAGTATAGCATAATTTAAGAGAAATATATTTTTAAAATAGAGCAGCGAGTATATAGAATTTTGAAAGTGAATTCTTATTAATATCTTACAATTTGTCTCATTTTAGGCAAGCTGCGAAATGCTGGAGTAGGCACCTAATAGAGAGCCAGAAGATCTGTCATGGCAGGCCCTTAAGGTCAGCAGATCTTTCCACCAGCCCCGGGTCTTCTTATCTGTAAGTGAGAATACCAGCATCCACCTCGCTGTGCTCTAAACATGAAGAGTTCCAACAGTAATTTATAAATTGTAAGATCTCACGAATCTAAGGCATTGCTCTTGTTGCTATTCTGATCTTCATTCCTTTTTTAGTCTTTCATTTCTGCTTCAAAGTGTGTTTTTGCGTGAGTCCATTTTATGGCTAGTGCTATAGCACTATTCCTGACTTTGAATTCTGGTTGCCTGAGGCAACCCCTCTAAATGATTAAGTAGAGGCTCCCGACCCCCGCCTTTCTTCTATCCCTCAACAAATACTGACCATGAAGAGCTGTATGATGGCATCGGGGCAACCCCCTGGTTATTACAGTGAACAACTTCATGGAAGAGGAGGTGCCTGAGCTGGGTCCTCAAGGATGCTTTGAGTCACCCAGGCGAACAGGGGGAGATGACACAAAGTAGGGCGAGGGCTCAGAGGCACAGAACAGTGCATGCAGTCCTGAGACCTTTAGTAGTTTAATACTGCCATATTGTAAAGTGTGTCGGGAGAAACTGAGAGCCGGCTGGTGAGGAAGGCCTGCAGGCCATGCTGAGAAGCCTGACTTCACCTGCACATGAATGGATTCAATAGTGCAGTGAAGGGGCCAGGCTGGGAGTTTAAGTAAATCCTGGCCTCTCATTCCAGAAGGAGGAGAGGCAAAATTCCACATCATCCTGCTAGAGTAAGTTTCAGAAATTAAAGCATCTAGGTTACTAACTTCCATTCCTGATACGCTTTTAGCAGAGTTTCCAATTGATCCAAAACAATTGAGAATAGTTGTATTGAATGGGTTAAATGTTAATTGGTTGTTTTTAGTTGAAATGATTACAGCTGGGCAAAGTGGCTCATGCTTGTAATTCCAATACTTTGGGAGGCTAAGGCAGGAGGATCCTTTGAGCCCAGTAGTTCGAGACCAGCCTGGACAACATAGGGAGACACCCATGTCTACAAAAAATAAAAAAAATTAGCCAGGTGTGGTGACGCATACGCTTAGTCCCAGCTGCCTGGGAGGCGGAGGTGGGAGGATCGGTTGAGCCCAGGAGGTTGAGACTGCAGTGAGCTGTGGTGGTGCCACTGCACTCCAGCCTGGGGGACAAACTCCATCTCCAAAACAAAAAACAAAAAATGTGTTACAACCAATTTCTTACTGCACGTACACACACACGAACACACACACAGAGAACATGATATGAAGTAGTAAAGACTGGGATGGGAGGTAAGGGTGAAAAGACAGCAAATATGGAACACTCAAGTTTTAACTATAAAGGAGAAGAAAACCTCTAGCCATGGGAGGGGGAGGGGCTCAAGTAGCGAGGTATTCCTTAAAACAGGGGAGGAGCAACCAAATTCCTAGGCCCAGGATCAGGAGCAGAAAGAGAGAGCTTGAAGCTTATAGGAGAGAGCAGATGGGGCCCAGGCCTGGAGAAGACCGATGTGCTGGACAGCCGCTCCCCCATCCGAGTGTGCATACCTGCCCCCGCGTGTCTGTGAGCACATGAATTCACATTCGGGAAGTCAGGCAGAGCCTGAGCTGCTGTATTTCTAACAATATCCCAGGTTATTCACAGAGTTTGAGATGGACAGATGCAGAGCCTTGCTGTGCTCTAGTAACCTCAGCAGCACCTTGTTAGAAATGTAGCATGGGAAGAAATGCCAGATATAGGTGATGGGGAGGAAGGCAGCAAATCACACTGCCATGTGTGTACCTATGCAACAATCTTGCATGTTCTTCGCATGTACCCCAAAACCTAAAATGCAATTAAAAAAAAAAGAAAGAAAGAAATGTATAAGTTCAGGCCCCGCCCAGAGCTGCTGAATCAGGATCTGCACTCTATCGAGATCTCTGGAGGATTCCTAGGAACATTCCAGTTTGAGAAGCACGGCTCCAGGTCATATGAGGGGCAAGGTTGGCTCCCGAATGAGAGGGAGAGAGGAAAGAGTTGAAGGCAAAAATTCAAAGAGCCAGCTAATGAAGAATGGGTAAAAGAATTGACAGGTGGCTACTGCCAAAGGCCAGAAGACGTCACAGACAGTCTGCAGCCTTGCCAGCTACTTTGAATACAAAGACACGAAGTGAAGCTTCTCTGCCTTTGCTCTTATATTTGGACAAGAGGCTTTCTATTACTATGCAGTATGCAATGCTTTGATTCGAGTGTCCTTATTTTAAAAATAAAATAGAGATTTCTCTTAAGGAATTGTCTCACACTATTGTGACGAGTCCAAAGTCTGTGTGGTAGGCCGGCAGGCCGGAGACGCAGGGAAGAGTCGATGTTGCAGCTCGTGTCTGAAGGTTGCCTGCTGGCAGAATTCACCCTTGCCGGGGGGAAGCCAATGTGGTGTTCTAATTCATCCTTCCACTGATTAGGTGAGCCCCACCTACATCAGAGAGAGCAAGCTCCTTTATTCAAAGTCCATGATGTAAATGTTAATCCCATCTGAAAACACCCTCACAGAAATATCCAGAAGGATGATTGACCAACGGACCTGGGCACTATGGCCCAGTCAAGTTGATGCATAAAATTAGCCATCACGGACTCAGATCTTGTTGAGCCATCGAGGTCATAGTTGCCACTAATGGGGATTGTGGGTAAGTAGTCCAAGAATGATTGTGGTCCTCTCATTGAAAATTCCAGAAAAAAAAAATCTATTGTTACTTTTTATTTTATTAGGATAGTCTAATTTAATGGGGTAAATTCTAAGGTCTGCTTCTAACTTGTACTTATCAAATTTACTTGTATTTCATCTACATCAAACCATAACGACAAGTACAGACTATTGATTCTATCAAAACCTCATCAATTGCCTTTAAATTTGACCTCCCTCCTTGGCCAGCCCTTCTCTTCCTGATTCTTATCTGAACTCTTTTTTTTGGGGTGGGGAGAAGAGATGGGGTTTCACCATTTTGCCCAGGCTGGTCTCAAATTCCTGGGCTCAAGCAATCCACCCACCTCATTCTACCAAAGTATTGAGGTTACAGTCGTGAGCCACTGCACCTGGCCTCTTCTCTGAACACTTAAGAAACACACACCACAGCGGCCATTAGGTAATTATCAATGCCTTTCACTGTTAGGTCTCTTTTCAGGTTTA